GTGGTGAAGCCTTTAAGAAGTGGCACCTAGTGTGAGGTTTTCAGTGACTAGGATGTGCCTGGAAGGGTCTCTTGCACTCTCTTATTCACTTCTGATGAGCAGCTGGACTCCACACACACACTCCCTGCCATGATGTGCTGCCTTGTCACAGGCCCCAGAGGAACACAGTCAACTGAGCATGGGCTGAAATGTCTGAGACCATGAGCTGAAATGAACCTCTCTTTATAAGCAGATTATCTCAGGTGTTCGTTATAATAATGAATGAGTGAATGAATGGCAAGGAAGAAGTGAATCCTAGAAGGTTAAGTAGAGTGACTCCCTTGGAATCCACAGCCTTGTGTTCCCTCCCATGATGACTCTGGTCTTGGCCATGTTGACTTTCTTTGGCTAAAGAGACAAGAGCAAATGTAAAACCAAGAGAGTCTTTGACAATCCTTGTGCATTGAGCTTGCTCTTGCTACTCTTGAGAACTCCAAGACCTCCTTGAAAGCAAGTCTGGGGCAGCCTACTTGATGCTGAGAGTCATGAGGTTGGCTTGCCCGTATTATCCCAGCCGACAGCCAGCATGAGACCATTGATGGCTAACTGACCACAGAATACGAATGAGCCCAGCAGGACCAGTCAGAAGGCCAACTGCCTAGGTTGGAGGACCAGAGAGCTCATGGAGGGACAGGGAGGGGTTGTGACTGGTCCTCTACCCTAAACTGAACTGGATTTTACCCTGGAAGCCAAAGATCTACAAAGAACCTCCTCCTAACTTCACTATGTCTATGAAGACCCTACTTCTACATAAGATCACATTCACAGGAAAGAGGGTTTCAATGTATTTTCCTGGTGGGTGGGAGATGGACAACCGCCTAGGTGAAGGCAGATATCAAGGTCAATAAACCTGGAACAGCGTGAAACAGTAGGGATCAGCAAGTCATCTGTTATGCTGGGCTCACTTGTATTCACTCATTCATTCCACAGACTTTAGGAAGACCTACTCTATACAAAGTCCTAGGGTAGGCCCTAAGGATGCAGAGAATTTTCCAGGGCTTGGATTTTTATTCTTGGACAGTCACTCAAAGACTGACACAATAAGTCTGACCAAGACTTTCAGAGATCCTACAAGGTAGCCTGAGCCTCTGCACTCTCCACTTCTGCAGAAATTACTACCTGATTACTTACAATTACTTATTAATAGCCTCTTCTCCTATAATAATGACCAAAAGCTAAAATGCAAAAACAAAATTCAAAATATTTTAGTGAGTGTATGTTTAAATTATAATTGAAAATTATTATTTTTATTTGGTGATCTAAGTCCAAACATGAAATTGTGTGATAACAGCATTTCCACTGAATATCTAAATGTCAATGATACGTTGTAGGAGCAGTTAACATCTTAATCATCAGTTGCTCACTTGTTCACAGGAATAAAGAGCTGCATGTAATTTCAAATTCATACTAGCAAAAATCAAGTAGACCAAAAGTGCAAATGAAAATCTTTTTCGAAAGCGCTATCTAAAGTTTCATATTAAGTGTATTTATTTTTCTCTAGGATTAGGACAGATTGCATTGGGAGCCCAGTCTTTCATAAAGAAGGGGGCGGGGAATAGAGTTGGGCCTTCGTTTCTCACAAAAGGCACAATGTGAAGCACATCTGTGAACATTGTATAATTTGTTATGTTTTACAAAGAGGTGGGTTTTTGTTATACACATACCAGAGCTATTTGGTACTGTTTCACCAATGATCTCTATTCAGGTCTAGAAAAGAAATTGGCCTCAGAAGAGTGAAAGGAGAGTAAATTTTTCTTTAAAAATTAGATACAGATTATCACTTCAAAATGCAGGGGGGGATTTTACAAGTGACGGTGTACTGATTAGCTTTCCAATGGACATCCAGTCCTTTATAAAACACATACTAGCCGTGGTCAACTGTGACCAATGTGGTTTATTATCTCCAGAAGAGTTGAACTGAGATTACCCATCTAATGTAATTGAGAAATGTTGGGTGAACTTGAACTGTTTCTTGGACATGAATGACCCGAGAATTTATTTGATGAGACAGGAAAGGCTGAATATGGTAACTCTGTCTTTGATGGTTTGGTATAGTCATTTCTTTAGTTCATTAGCAAGTTTTTCCTATTTTTTTATTACTCTTTTTTCTAGTGATTACATGAGCAACCTAATGGAAAAAAGGGCAAAACAAATAAATTAATTCTGTACAATATCTTTACAAAAAAAATTTACCATTATTGGCAAATATTCATGACAGTTTTATATAGTTAACTCTTTAAAAGGAAATATTTATTTTCAAGTAAAGAAAGTGAATGTTAATTAAGTTGTGAAAAATTAATAAATGTACTGTTTTTTTCATAATATAGTCCCTAAATCATTTCTAAAATGTTATCTTCTGATTTTGCCAATTAACAACAACAACAAAAAAAGGCATCATGAAATTGACATCTTATTCACCAAATGAACTCCTTTGCATATCCTGGTAAACTGGGCAGTGTGAACTCTCTCGTTGGTGACATCTCCATGAAACATGTATGATAACTTTAACAATAGTATGGCATACAAGGTGGCATTAGATGACACTGCTTTCTCTTCATGGATCTTCTCATATCTAAGATAAATTCTCCTTTATTCCCAATGACCAATGCTAAGGTATATTTTGTATGTATAATATGTACACATATTGTGTATACATCTTTTTACTGTATTTAAATACTATATCTTTTAAATTATTCTCAGAACCTCTAAGAATAAATTATAAAAATCACACTTCACGCTACTAGTGACTCTTTAAATGGAATTTGTCATTGAAACGTTGTCATTAAAACAGAAAGGCCTTTTGGTTGTGCCCATACAAGCATAATAAATTGTATATGTTTGTGATACTGAATGACTCTTGCCCATATGCTGCACTGCAAAGCTACATGAATGAGGCATTTACCAAATCAGGCCCACCACATTAAACAGAAAAACAATCTTTATTCATGGTAACTTATCAGTTTCAATTAATCACCCCTAACAATGGAAATTCTGATGTGTTCAAGCAACTTGAAAGCAACAGGTCATCTCCAGGGCAGCCATGTTGTGTCTTTGTGCTGATGGTTTCAAACAAAGCAACATCTCCAATAAATATACATACATATACATACATACATGTGCATATATATACATATAAATGGGCAGTTACAGCTATGCCCTGCAGTGCCAACAAAATGCATGTGCACTGTATATGATTTTATCATAGCAAATGTTATTGTTTTCCTTCAAGTATTACTTTTTGAGCTCTGCAAGTTTAAACAAAAGGAAAGAAATTTCCATTGGATGACCATCCTTTCAGTTTCTGTGCTGCTATGTGAATAGCATTGTGCAAACCATTCCAATGGTTTTGAAAAGGGGTAACCATTGGTTTGATTTGGTTACACGGTTTAGTAAAGAGCTCCCTCCCACTGCCTTAGGGTCTGTGAAAGGTCTGTGACCTGTTTAGAACTGCCAAGTGAAATGTCATGTCGCCCCTCCCAAATGGGAGTATCTGCATTCATTTGATCAGTATAAAAAATGATTGGGGATGGTGAGATCAGTGCTTTTGAATTGCAATTTATAGCAGTTTACAAAAATGCACATTGTTGGAAAAGAAAACATGGAAGTGTTTCTTTCTAAATTGCATTACCTGTGAAATGTCATTAGTCTTTTAAGGATATTTACATCCTTTTTTTATAATTTGGGAGACTTACATCAACTAAAGAAAATCAGAATTATGTCACCTTATGGTTTTTTAACTAATATTTTGGGTTTTTGTCATAAAACTTATGGAAAACAATGAGTCTGAGTTCTTAGGATGAGCATGATTTCTTATCAGGCCCATTGACTAATTCCCTAAGATTATCTTTGGTAATGAGTTGCATTGGTAGAAGATCCCCCATTTTCTTTCCCAGACTATGGAGGAGACTCACTTGTTGGTGAGTGGCTTATCTGTTAATTTCTAACAGACACGGAAATCTCTAGCATACTTACTCCACCAGGTTTCCATTGTTTCTTCAACATGCTAGTAACTCCTTGTGAGATGAATGCTTTTGAAACTCTAATGCCTGTAGACCATAGACATGTAGATGCACCATCTACATATATGTATAGTTTCACAAGAGGAAATGTCATTGTTTTCCCCATTAAGTATATAAAAGATACAGGAACAAAAAGTTTAGGCAGGCTGTTCAAGTTCACAAACACCTAATTCACCCACCTGGGTTCTATGGGACGCAGAATGCAAAGCGCTTTATATTTTTTTCAGAAGTATTGAAAGCTCCTCCTCTTCATCTTTGGCATCAAGTGCAATTGGACATTACATCGAAGAAATCTTTGATTAAGAAAAGTTACCTTGGGAAAAGGCCCTCGGGGCTTCCCTGGTTGATAGTTGACTAAAAAAAGAGAAAGGCCCTCTTTCAGAAAAGACTTGACCCAGATAGACTCTCCAGCACTCCACTTTGAACCTCCCAACTATTGAAAGCCGAGGTTGTCACGTTTTTATCTTTGTTCATGTTAAGACTTGGAATGACAGCCTGGCTCTGTGTTCCCCTCTCCCACTGCCCCGGCTCCAAGTGTCCACATTGACACCTACCGGTGACCGCAGGCTGCAATTCTTTGTTGCCTTCTCCACGCTCCTGGCTTTCACTGGGATTAGCTCAAAGCCTTTGTTCCCCTTCAAAGCTGGAACATCACATCCCATGTTGTGGCTTTCCTGTCCCAGACCCCCAACGCTTTCCTCACAATTTACACACCAGGTAAAAGTGCCTCCCTACAGGGGCAAAGAAACTAGCCTGGGACCAGCCAGAGCTTTCCTAGTCTCCAATTTCAGAGCCCCTGCCAGTTTGGTTTTCTTTCCTTCACGTTTCTAATTTCCTATTTCATAGGGAGAGACAATGGAAATTTAAATCTTAGGTAAATTTCAGAGTTAAATCCCTGGATCTAAATACAAGACAATCTTTTTTTTTTAAATTATTTTACAGTGGGTCGTGTTTCTTCCCAGAGGGTCAATGACTGGCCTTGGTCACAGGCAGGTAAGACCAGTTCTACACTCAATAGAAAAGCACTCTCTGAGGAAAAAGGGGTGGGAGTCTATTTTGAAGACCCAGGAGAATCGAACCACCTGATTGATCTACCCCTCCTTTTATCCCTAATCTCTCTTCCAGGTTACTAAAGAGAGCCCCAGCTGGGCTAGATCTGGGAGGACCCCCCATAAAAACTTATGCAAAGTGTTACCTGGGGAAGGAGAAAGGGTGGAGAGTGGCTGAGGTCTAGTAAGTAAAACAAAGTTTATAGCTGTTCCTTGTTCTCATTTTTAGTGAATCGAGGATCCTCCAAAGAACCTTGGGAGAAGATATGGGTACACCAACCCCCAATGAATGATGTGGACCCAACTGGGTTGCTCAAAGAGACCACAGAATAGAGGACCCTCTTCATCCTGGATGGCATATAATGCCTGCCTCCTTAGCCAGAAATACTGTCTCCAAGGCGTTTCTGAACCATTCGATGATTTCTCCAGATTAGGAACACTAACTCAAGCACTGCAATTTAGAATTGGAACACGCCTTTTGCCCGCATCTTTTCTGAGCCCCAATGAAACCTCTCCTGCTCTCCTGCAGAGTGAGCTGGGTGCATGGACCCTGAGGGGTCACCAAATCCATTCTAGTTGCCCGCTGGGGATCAGAGGCGCGCCCAGAGCCTAGGAGTAGGAAAGAGCGGACTTCAATTAAAATATCTGAGGCATTAAACTTGTTTGACACTCTCTAATTCATCCAGTCTCTAACACAAAATGAGAACGACTTGTTGCCTTCTGACTTAAGAACTAAGTCCTTTGAGAGTGAACCATACACATTGAGGGAAGTTTGTATTTCCTTTGGGAAAATCCCCTATACTCGTCATTGGGTGCACGTGGCTCTGTAGCCTAAGGACAGTAAACAAGTCTTTAATACGTGGGGAAACTTTTTGAAGTTTTGCTTCTCGGTAAGTATGAAGAAGATCCAGTGCTAAGTTTAAGTGTTCAGTCTGGAATGTCAGGTGCCATTTATTGAAACACCCAGTTGCTTTTCTTCGTGCGTAATGTTCAACTTGGTCTTTTCTCTTCCCCTAAATACAAGTTCGGGCCTGTCCTTCTGTCTCTAAATCGTAGACTCCGGATTACAAATTTCTAAGGCTATTAAGTCTCAAGAAATGTATTTGTGGTACTTGTCACATAAAGCTGATGTTCTCTGGTCCTAAAGAAAGCCAGAGAGGCGATTTATTTGTGCGTAAAAGGAACAAGATTTAATTGGAGAGAGACGTGTTATTTTGAACGCAAGTACATGGGGTGGCATAGCGCCGTGGAGCATTATTCGAGCTTCATCTACTATGCACTATATGCCACCGTCTCCAAAGGAGTGTTGCCCTAGAAACTTGTTTTAAATCTGCTGCTATATATCAACACCTTGTTTTAGCAGTCCTTGGCTGAATTACAGTTACACAGTTTGGCGCTTCTTTCAAATTTCCTCCCATCAGTTTGGCTAAAGAAAGGAATTTTTCTCCTTTAGAAATGAATTGGCTTAATTAGTAAGTAGATTAATGGCAATTGCTGGTGAGTTGGTTTCCAGCAGAGTTTCACCAGAGAGGGTTAATCGGAGTCAGGTCTGGAATCTTTCCCAGAACTGGCTGCCAGCCATTTCCACCAACCAATCAACCTTACAAGAATCGAAGGAAATCAAATAAAATTTATATTCTCTGTGTCATTCTTCTGGATCAAAATTTTCTAGGAAGCAGCCTCCTGGTTGGGTGCAGTAGAGACTGTTTTATGTCAGAATTTTAACAGAAATTTTAAGCTCCATGATTTATCTGAGTACCAACATAGAATTTCCAGTGGCACAAAAATGTCTCCACAGAACACTGGGCGCATTGGAAACATCTAAGGTTCTGAGTTAATTTCAGGTTTAGAGAACTTACAACCCCCCTCCCAAGTCCGGCCCTAAATCTGTTATACACCAGAAGTCTTTCAAAAGTTTTGGTGTATGATTTGCAGTCTTTTCACTTATTTTTTCCATAGTGATAAAAAATGCATTCATAGTCTAACTTGCAGCTGCATTAGTCTTGCAAAAAAAAAAAAAAAAATCCCTGCTGAGAAATGCATATAATAGGAAAAACAGATCGGCTGGACAGCAGTGTAATTAATGCCAGAAAGGGCTGAGGCCGGTTTCATAGTTTGTCTTTTGAGGATATCAAGACGAGACCTGGTGAAAAATGACGCATGCTTTAGCATTTCAGAAAGCTGGCAACTGGCAGCGCTTTTCCTTTTTTCTTTGACTTTCTGCCGCAGAACAAAGAGGTCGGCAGAACTAGCTAGGTTGTAATGAGTTCTATGTCCCTAGCACATTAAGTGCATCATGGAAACATATTGTATCGAAATAGTTTGGAGGAGAATACCGGGGATGAAAGAGAATGGGTGCTTTGATCAGCTCCCTGGGGTCCTGAGCGCGCACAGACTGACTTGCAAGGAGTTATTCAGCTCCAGCTAGACACACTTACAACACCATTCAAAGAAATTTGCATATCTGTAATTTATCACATTGGTCCAGAACATTATTGCAAGGTAAATAAAAGTTAGTTGAATTAAAAAAAATCAATCATCTCAGATATAGAGAAACTGTGAAACCAGTCTTGCCATTAAAACCAGAAATAAATATGTCCATAAAACATGACGATTTAGAAGCTGGCTTTATTTTTAAAGTGTCCTTAGAGCAACAGGTTATGCTCTAAAAAGAAGAAGAAGAAGAAGATAGAAGAAGAGGAAAAGAAGAGTGGCCACAATTTCTTTGCCTTAGGAAGTGTATTTGCAGCTTCCCACTGGAATAAAGTCACAAGGTTGAATGAGATGCATGTCACTATAATCAGCTTGTGACTCGAAGAGAAAAATTAGAACATACTTTGGAGAGATATGAACGATGGCTTAATCTCCTTGGAATCTGCAAATGGTAAGGCTAAATCTCATTTCTGCTCCTGTTGATTTCATTGCCAAGCTCTATTTGCTGAATTTAGCTCCAAAGGATGAAATGTCCAGAGACCCGGTCAATAGGAAAACTTGCTTTCAAGTGCCCCATGAGAACAAGTGAAAATTTAACAGGCAGGCATTGTTCGGGGTTTTTTAAACAACTCAGTTAAACAGCAAACAAGAATCTTCAACTTGACCTTGGAAAAGGCTGTGTGCCTACAGATAATCTATCAAACAACTCTGGATGACAATGATATATTTCAAAGTATTGTCAGATGAAAAGATTGATAAATTTGCTGCTGCAAAGAGAGAACTTTGGAAACAGGCAACAGGCAATTTAGCTCACCAACTCCGCCTCCTCCTCCTCTGTCCTCACTGCCCCATCCCACCCCTCCACCCCCAGCCAGCCTTGGGGCCAACTCTATAGAAGAAGGCCAGTAAATCAGCACTGTAATATTTCTTAAGGGGCACGGAAAAGCTGTGAACAGTACTTCTCATATTAAACGCAATATTTCTTTGCTTTCGTGGGGAACAAAAGTCATAGCAAGACGTCTTTATGGCTAATTCAGTCAAAGGCACATCTCTGGTTCCCCCGCAGAAAGGTCAGTGTCGTTGTGTTTGGTCCACCGAGGGGGTGTTTTCACAGTGAAAACTGAGCCAGCTGTCCCTGTCATACCCTCACCATTGGGGAGCGCACACTAGCCATGGTTATTAGGCACATTCTACACCTGCAAAATATACCGATTTCCAAGACTTTTCAAAACACCCTCTCGTTCTCATGCCCCCTCCTCTTTCTTCTACTAAACTTTGACAACACAATTCAAGCCCTGGATGAAAGCACTGCACGCAAGAGGAAGGCTGGGGAAGGGGCACTCTCGGCTACTGTCTCATGGTGTCTATTGAGCAGCCATCAAAGAAATGAGGCGTCAAGTATGTTTTCAAAAAGTATGGAAAAACTTCCACACATTTGCTATTGCCACAAATGCAAATTGTTGAGCCCTAACATGTAAATTATATGCACCGGTGTTCATTGTGGGGTTGCAGCCTAGCCTCCTTCATTTAAATGTGGATCATTTAAAAAATTCTATTCGTATTTGGAATGACACTGATCAGCGCCAGAATTTCTGGAATTCTCCCATGCCAGTGCACGTCTATTTTTAAAAATCCAATGCCAATTCTTGCCCCACTGGGTTGTCTAATAAAACTCCTAGAAACATCCCCTATCTAGAATTATCACCAGGATCCAATTCCAAAGGTTTGCACTTCAGAGGTAGGTGGTTAACTAGCTATTTAGGAGAGGACCAGTGACCCAAACAAGAAAGGAGACAAAAGAGAGCCTGTGCTATCCCTGAAGAGAAATTGTAAAATTGTAAGCAATTCAGAAAAATTCTGTTGAGAATGAGAACGACCCAAGTGCCAGTTCCTCTGGAAAGCGCGAAGATAACTAGCTTTCTCAGAGTGGGGTGGGGGTGGGGAACCAAAGATTCCTATCTGGCTGCGGGGGGCGAAGAGGGGGGTGTGAGGTAGCGAGCTATATTATTGAGAGGGTTTAATTAGTCTGCGGTGTGGCTCTAATCCGGATCTTCGTCTAATCCTGCCACCCAAACTGCAAAGAGCTACATGAGAAGTTCTTAGTTTGGGCGAGGTACAGGGGTGTCCGGGATGCCTTGGGTTCCCGGGACGCAGGCAGGGTTGAAACACACTGCTTGTCATAGGAGGCAAGAAGGGGGTGCCTCTCACTAACAGGGAACCCTAAACTCTTTCCTGGAAGCTGGGGGCCTCCACACAGCCTGCTTCCATCAGGCAACGCGCGGCATCTCTCCAAAGCAATGTCAGCGCAACAGGTTGTTTGGAACAGGTGCGTACCCTCCACGCAAGGGGCTAGAGTTATGCTGCGGCGATCCGCCAAGGGCTAAGAGTCCCCGAGAAGCAAGGGTAGATCCTCAGGAGCCCGAAAGTGGGACCGGCTGGAACTCTGCGCCCCGGCCACTGTAGCTGATAGTGCCGGCGCCTCGGCTGGGAGGCAAAAACGAGTTCGCCACAACCTGCGCCCCAGGGCAAGGGGCCCTCTGCAGGCGGCCTCCTGAGGGCTTCCCGGCTGGCCAAGGGGTGTAGTTGCCCTGGGCCCTCTTAGAGGAAGCCTGGGGTCCCAACTCCTGGCTTCATTCGGGCCGTTCACCCCGCTTCCTGCTCGCCGCTTCCTGGAGCCCCTCTTGGAGACTTTCATGCGCAAAGATAGCAGAACTACGGAGAGCTGGACACCGGGGCAGCTACTTTCAGCCTCGAGAAAAACAGACAGCGCCCGAACCCCGAATGCCCGGGGAGCAGGGGCCAGGCGGGCCTCGGGGGATACTCATCTGACTCCACCCCGGCTCTCCGGAACCCTGGGAACGCCGAGCAGTAGGCGGGGCGCATGCGCGCCTCCAGCCAGGGTCCCTCCCTGGCCCGCGGAGTTTGGGGGAAGTTTGGCTAGGTTTGCCTTGGCGGCGGCGGACGTCCTAAAAACTGAGCTGCCCTGGGTATGAGGCCAGGAGCCCCCCGGAGTCCCAGGAGCCGGCTCTGCAGGGTCCCAAGAGCTGAAAGACAGCAGAAGGTGGGGAGAGGGAGGCCTTTTGTGTGTGGCACAGGAGAGTCACTTGCGCACAAACGCAGCAGCGCGCTCCGCCGCCGCCTCAGCCTCCTCCGCTGCACCTCCGCCTCTGAGGCGCTTCATTACAGCCGAGCCCTTCCCCCGCCTCCCCCCGGCCCCGGCCTTTGTTCGGCTTGAAAGTAATGCTGTGAATTAAAAGAAATGACAATATTTTCTATCTGCTTGAAAGTCCAAGAGAAGAGCCCTTGAGCTTGGCAAAAATCAGGCAAATCATTCATCATGCCACCCCGCACCTGTGGTCTTGGCATTGAAAACCCTCCAGACCTATTCCTATTAAACTTAATTATTCCCCCAAAGCACACAATGGTTGAAATGGAGCAGGTTGGAGTCTGTTTATTGGTGGTAAATGTTTTTCTGAAGATCTTCTGAATCTCATTGTTAGCTCGTTGTTTGAGGCTGCCCTCTTTCTTTCAGACTAGAGTAGCCTTGGACTTTTCAATTTTCAATCGTAACATCTGCTTAATCGTACGGATCAAAATATGGAGACACAAAACATATGTAATGGTTGATTTGTTAAATCCTGGTAATGAGTTATTAACAAGGGAAAACAATAGGCCAGGATGGTGAGAGCCTTATGGTAACAGAGTCACTTTATGTAACGCCTGACGTTTCCCTTCTTGATAAATGGAACTAAGGTCTGAGCGCCAGGTGATAGCAAGAAAATCAATGTCTTTAGGGGCCAGCACTGAGACTTTTTTCTATGTGAAAAATTAGGAGACATAAAATTTAATTGGCTGATCAGGAGGGGGGGAAACAGTGGTCTTAAGTTTAATTGCCAGTAGGCTTAGCAAGGGAGACAAAACAAGATTTGGGCCTGTTTGTTTGCTGCACCCCAGCCTCAAGTCCGAGTGTATCATTGAAAATGTGTTTTATTATAACACATGTCATGCTTTACAGTTCCCATATTGTGTAAAGACAATAGTTAATGGTACATTAAAGACAGGCAAACCATGCCAACACGTCTTGGAGACATTGTAAGGGCCTCTCTCTTTGCTTGTTTTAGGCAGCTGCAGCCCAGGACCCAGAAGCACAAAAAGAACAAGTTTGAAATACCAGGTGCATCCTAGAGGACCACGACAGGGATTGATATGTTATAGCCCAGGACATGAACCTAGCAATAAAGATATCATTTCGATTGTCTGCGGCTTCCACGGCCTGTAAAGCCGGGAGGCCCTGAGCAGCCTGCTTTCTGGCAGGCCTGTCTCTCTCCCTGGGTTTCCCCATCTCCCTGGGCCAAATCCGAACACCTGTTGGCCAGACCTCACATCCCGTCGTGGGAATCGTTTCCTACCAGTGGTTCCAGATCTCAAAAATGCATTGGTTGTGGAATTATTTAGGACCATTCCCACAGGCTGCAGAAGGCTTTGGAAAGGCAGTGGGAGGGGAGGGTGAGGGAGAAAGGGAGGGTAAGGGCTCTTCCCAGAGAGATTCGCCAGGGAGTACTCAACTGGTGTTTGTTCAACCTCGCAGCTGGTACTCGGTGCCACTGCAAAGGCCCATTAATGGAAATGGGATGAGTTTATGGATTTAAGAGACTCCACACCCTCTCCACTGAGGGGCGTTAATCCTGGTACTGGCAGATGAGCAGTCCTGGGAATCACTGGCAGCCGATTTCACAGGAGTTCCAACAAGGCCTTTTATGCGCCCTGCTCCCAGTCTGGGGTGGCAGGCTCACTCTCTTTCCCACCTACTTTTCTGCCTTATAGGACCCATAGTCTCCAGGATTCAATATGTTAGGAGAATTTTCAAGTTAATCCATGGTGCCTGGCTTCCATGGGAAAGAAGAGGCTCCACCAAGGAGCTCCATTCTGGAGGCTACCCAGCTGAGGGTGCAGAAGTGGCAAACCTCTCCTCTTTTTTACCACCCTCCCTTCTCCCCCCAAGACACCCCACCCAATTTCACCTCAGAACTGACAGCCCCCTCAGGAGAAACTAAGGGCAGAGAAATGGTGCCTGGGCTTCCCAGCCAATGAAATAGAAAGTCGCCTTTTTGGTGACACATAGCATCTTTTAAGGCAACAAGAGGACCTTGACCCTAATGTCCATGTGAAATGTAAGGGAGTGAGAAAGGGGATAGAAGGGGCTTTTATTGGGAAGATTCACTGGCACTCTGACACCAAGGCAGAGCGACACAGCAACCTAGGAATGGAGAGCAGCAAGATGGGTCGAAATTTGAGAATTGGTGTGGGGGAGAAAAGGGAAGGTGTTGGGGGGGGGGTTAAGGAGGGCACTCCACTGCAATCTCCATGCTGGGAAGACTTTATCAAATCCTCTCCAGTACTCCCTCCCCCCACAACCACTAGCAGTGGAGTCTGGACCACTGGGGAGTGATTTAGCCAGCTCTCCAGTAGAGATCATAAAATGTACCCTGTACTGGGGTTTGCAGTTTCTTTATTATGCTAAATGGACAAGGGCAGCCAGGGCAGACTTTAAACTCTTTCCCCTGGTGGTCCCAGACTGGATTTCAGCGCAAGGGCTGATGGGTGTTCAGAAGAGCAAGGCTGGGTAAAGGCTCTCCATAGCTGTCCAGCAGTTTGGCTTACTCAATTTTATTTTCATAGGCATTTTTTTTTTAACTTGGAAGAAAAGTGTTGACTTAGAAGGACTGCTGAATACCTGTCAGTCAAACTGCCCCCACAAGGTCTTTCCAGTGCCAGACTGTATTTGCTGGCCAGAGATGCCTCAGGCCAGAGGCTCTCCAGCCTGGCGCTGCTACAAGGACGGCGGCTCCTGCACCCAGTGCAGCTCAGGCCTCCCTGACGCCAAAGTAGACTCTGAAATGATACGTTTGTTCTGCTTTTACTGCTGCATTTAAAAAAAAAAAAAAAGAATTGCAACACTAGAATGAATGGATTATGAGTAAATAAAAAGAAACTGTCAGTCTCTTTGAAGGTTGTGCTTAAAGGGACTTGCCAAGTCAGGGCACAAGAGTGACAAGATAGAGACCCTGGTGTTTTGCATGCTCAGCTCGGCTCTTCCGCTTCATCTGCACCGCACTAAAGGATGTGTTGATGCATTGAATCACAAAAAAAGTGGCACGCAAAATAAAAGGTGCCACATCACAATGATTGTAGTGTTTTAACTACGAATTGCCACATCACCCAATCCAAGGAAATGCAGGTCTACACAGGCAAAGAAAACGATACAACACTTCCATAACTTATAATTAAGTTGAAGTCTGCCTAACATTTGACTTTCTAATGAGTGTAATGAGATTACATGCCTGATGGAAGCATTTGTGCAAAAGCAACTTTCGTGTTTAATGAGGCCCTAATACAGGACAAAATTGAACTATTTTCTCTCGTTCTCAAATTCTGTCTCCTGTGTGAAATCATCTTTTGGGGGAGGGGGCCGAGAGGACGCGAAGGCTGGAAGGGGTGTGAGGGTCCATGGCCAAGGCCCTCCTGGGAGCCTCGCGACCCAGAATCTCCGCATGTCTGGCCAGGCCGCGCTGCGGGGTCGGGCTCGCGGCCTCGCTTTAATTGCTCTTGGACGAGGGCCATGGCACCCGCGGCGCGCGGGGAACCCCTCGGTGGGTCTGAAACTAGGTTAAAGCAATTAGCATGCTGCCGGCATATTGTCCTTCCGCAAGGCCATGGGTACTGGGGGCGGTTCGCGATTGTACCTTGACTGACCAGGGAGACGCTAGGCTACACAGGAGCAGCTCGCCTTTGCCGGGCCTGAGCAGGGCCTGGGCAGCTCCAGGACCGACGTTTCACGAAGAGGTGCGCGCCTCCTGCTCTGCGCCCGTGCGCTCGGGTCCTCACCATCCGCATCCGCGCCACCGGGCTCTGCCCACGGGTGAGAGCGCTGCGGCGGTCGCCGCGGTGGATGGTAGCTGGAGCCCAGGCTTCCAGGGTCTTCCAGCTGAGCGACCCCTGGCCTCGCCTCCGCTTCTCCCGTTCGCTAGGGGGCGATCCTGTGCCCTCCGCCCCAGGCTTGTGTTCTCTCCAGATCTCTGGCAGAGGAAGATTAGGTTCTGGTATAGGCAAAACCAAGCCAGTTTTAGAAATAACCTGTGGATGTCGCTCAGTGGTAGAACGATGATGGCCTAGCATGCGTGGGATTGGATTCCATCCCCAGCACCGAAAAAAAAAATTCAGTTGTAGATATGCTAGGCAGAGTAGGCTCCTTCCTTCCTTACCTCGAAAACCCTGAATTTTGTTGGAAGCCCCCACCCCAGATATTCCCCCGGATCTCAATACCACCGCCTGACCCATACCCTCTGAGAGGAGTACGCCTGAGTTTCAAATATCTGATGCTGCAACTGCCAAAGGATGAGTGGCAGGGCAGCTCAAGAGCAACCCATCCTCCAGCCATGGAAGCAGAAAGACCCCTTCCCTTTCCCAGCCCAGGAATTAGCTCCCAATTTCCACCAGACACAGCGCCTTCACTTTTATACAATACGATTAGGCAGAATGAGGGTTATTTTGGGTAAACCAAACATGACCTGAGCCTCAGCCTTCCTCTCTGAAAAGTGGGAATAACAAATCCTATCACCTATTTGCCCCAAGGGTACCTGAAAGGTAGGCTAAATGTTACTATTTGGGGCAGATGATACAGAAGAAGGGCTGTAATGGCGAATTGGAGGTCATCTAAATAAAACACAGTTTCCTACTTGATAGCTACCTTTGAGTTTCTGATTTAGTTTTTACCAAGTTAATTATTTTTAATGACATAGTTGCCCCCATCATGTACTAAACAAATAACTTGTAGAAAAAGGTGTCAATAGCATTTATTAACAACGCTTAGAAATAAACTGTATTTGGTAATAAATAAGCATGAAGTTTTCTGACCAGAGTTCTTCCAACAACGCAGAGTTCTGCTAAAGGTGCTGGGGGAATCATCCGCTATTGCATATTTTTAGAAAATCAGGATAAATTATATAAATTATATATATAAAGAGATCATCTATTTCATTAACTCAACAGGATAATAAATAGATAAATAACAGTTGATTGCCATTAGAAAAATTTGATTCTTAAATTACATTTACATTATAGGTATTTACATGTACAATATGCACAGAGACATAATCAGATCCTCAACCAAATATGAATTTTCTCAGGACACAAATTCAAAGGGCGGTTCGTTTTCTATGTTGTTAAATGAAGATTTGCTGTTGAGTTTTCTGGGGTCCTCTGGGGTCCACACTTTGGCTGTTCGGATAATATTTTGCTCTTTGAGTTGTTTTTCATCAGTCCACGAGAGAGAGTGTCCTGCAAGGGGAGGGAGACCATAATCCGGATCGCTAGGTGAGGGAGGCCCTAGGGAGGTGAAAAGAGAAAACAGACTGTGAATATCCAATTATATTCCCAGAGGCCCCCTCCGACTTTCAGGATGCCCTCATGTGCAGACTGAACAGGAGTCTCACAGTCATACTAGAACCACCCTCTTAGTCCACTTCTCAAGCCCCCAGCGCCCGCTCCCCGGGATCTTAGAAGCTGCTGGTGTGGCAGGGACGCTTGTCTTCCCAGCAGCAGTCAAAGCGTCAGGTGTGTGTGTGGGTGGGTGGGGGGAGGTACGCGAGAAAGAATCTTGTGCTCCAGGTTGCCAGTGCCCACCGTCCATCTGCCCGCCCGTCGGTCCGTCAGTCTGCTTGTCAGTCGGTTCGCCCTGCCTTTCCTGGGCCTTAGCGGGCCGGTGTCAGTGCCCCTCTCCCAGACCTGAGATGGGGACGCACTTACTGGTGCCACGATGGCAAATGATGACTTTCTGGGCCTGACTGCCCGGGCTGTCCCCGCCCAGGCGCCCGCGGCCGCCGGGTCCCCCGCATCCGCCTGCGCCGCCACCCCGCAGCGGCAGATCCGCCTGCACGAGCTCGCTGAGGAAGTTGATATAGCCGATGGCCAAACGCAGTGTGTCCACCTTGGAGAGGCGCTTTTCGTAGGGTAGCGTGGGGATGTGCGAGCGCAGCCCCTCAAAGGCGTCGTTGATGGACTGCATGCGCCTCCGCTCGCGGACGTTGGCCGCCTGCCTCAACTGCTGCAGCTCAGCCTCAGAGCGCACACGCCTCCTCCGCCGCGCTGCGGCCGCCGCCGCACCACTCAGACCACGCAGCCTAGCCCCTGGAGACAGCACCGCAGCCGCGGCGCAAGGGTAGGCCAGGCAGGAGGGAGGCGAGCCCGGCGAGTAGGGGAAGCCGCCGGGGGGCGCCCCTGTCTCGCAGCAATAACCGCCGCTGTCCTCAGGCTCGCCGGGACCCCCAGGGGGCGGCGGGGCGAGCGCGTGCGGGGCGACCGAGGGCGCGGGCTGCAGTAGCAGGCATGCCCCGTCGCGGTAGCAATACTCGTGCAGCTGGTGGCTGAGGAACTCCACCTCGGCCTGCTCGTCTGCCAGCAGCTCATCGCCGTCCTCCAGAGGATCCCGGGAGGACTGGTCGGTAAAGAAATCTTCCTCGTCAAAGTAAGCGGTCGGGAAGGCGTCCAGGGCCCCGGGGAAATGCTCCAACAGCACTGCGTCCATGCTGTCCGTGGCCGCCGGCCAGGGGGCCGGCAGGATTGCCTAGGGTGAGGCTTTGTAAGTGCTGGGTTGTCGTGCTCTCTGGTCCGGCTGCCCCTCCTTCTGGGCCCTGCGCTGGGGGCGCGCGGCGGCAGCCCGACTGCCCGCCCCCGGGCCTCCCTGGAGTGCCCGCCGCCGCGGCGCTCTGGCTGGCGCCCGCGCTGCACTAGGGAGGGCTGGGACCGACTTGCTGAAGCTGAGGGCCGGCACGCGAGGATTCTTATAACTACATCCACAGGCGCGTGCCAGGGACCCGCTGCGCCAGCCAATCAGAGCGCGGGGCGCGGTGGGGAGGGGGCCGGGAGGCCCCGGGCGGTGGCGGCGGGTGCGCTTTCCTTCTTTTGGGAGCTCCTGGGGCGAAGGGAGGCGGGGTTCGTCCCGCTCCTCGTCGATTATTTTGTACTTACCTTCCCAGAACGCAGCTCCGGGGACACCTGTGACCCGCAGCTCCCTCCACCTGTCCCCGCGCACTCCGCACCGCAATGCCCAGTTCTTCTACTCCGGGGCTAGGGTTGTGGCGCGCAGTCATAAAAGATCCTAAGGGTGCAAGAGTTCACCCCCATTGGTGTTCGGTCTTCTTTTGGAGTCCAAGCAGAAGCCACCCGCACGCAGCCTGAGCAATTAGAGCGGCTGCAGTCAGGGGCCGGGAGGGTGCATTTCGCCATCCCATACCCGGGCGCGCTCGGAGCTCGGGCATGGGTTCTGTTGGGGGCTTCTGTCCCATCACCCGGCCTTTCAAGGACTCTTGTGAAGTTTTCAGGATGTTCTAGTGGGGTTGGAAGGCAACCCGGTCCCATTCCTAAAGAGCGCAGACTCAGCGCACTGTCTAGGAGCGCGCCTAGGGGACTCCGCTCTGGGCCGGACCAGCCTCCCTTGCCCTCCCCTGGGGCGGGGGGTGGGGGAAGGGGAAGGGGAGAGGAGACACCGTTGCCTCGGAGAGCAGCTCAGTGGGGCGCATTTCTTCAGAGAGCAAATCGAGACCCTAGGGGTTCTGAGCCATAAACTCGGTACAAAAGGAGTCAATTGAAGCTCCTGCTCCGGAGCAGTCCGAAGCGAGGGCATTGAAGTTAAAGAGCAGAGTGTAAACCATTTTAAAAGCCTCAGTCTCTCACCTTTCTGACTGGCCACCGGGACCATTCCTCAGTGATTTTTTTTTCTCGACCTTTACACACGCGCTCGCGCGCGCACGCGCGCGCCCGCCGTGTGCAGTCTGCTCTAAGACATTTTATCGCAGACTGTAGTGCAACTTGAATTCCTCACTTTAAGAGCAACAAAGAAACACTTTCAAGGTCAAGTAATTCCTATTAAAAGCCGGGCTCCAGTGCCATCCCGGAGAGTTAAGAAGCGCAGCTTCAATAGAGCAGCGGAGGAGTTGTCTTCCAGGGTCAGACACTTCCTATTTTAGACAGTTGTTGTAGCTGAGGTTTCTGTAGGTTATTCAAAATCCCTTCAAAATCCAAGCCCATGCCTCTGAAGAACTGTTACTTAAACACAATTTACTTTCTTTAACTCTACGGCCAAAAGATATATAAGATTAGAAGAAGGAGAGGTTACTCTTCCTTGAACTGTCAAGAACCCCAAAGGTCCACTATTTTATAGCAGCTTTTTTTCATGTGGTCTTGTCTCCTTTACAGTGTTGTCATTGTCCATAAGTGGATGCAGATATGGTCCAAGTTTCCTGTGACAGAAACTGAGCTACAATTTTCTTAATTTGGATTCCTCTTTGTGGCCTCAAAGGGAGGGAAGCTATGGGGATGTTTAGGGATGTGTGTAATGACCAGGGATCTAGCCAGCTGCCTGCGGTTGTGTACCCAATTCCTTGTACATTGGAAAGGTCCTCTCCTGTCCTCACTTGGTTAGAATACAACCAGATGGATCCATTTGACGACTTGCAAGAGTAACAGCTAGCCTGAATTCAGCACCTTATCCAAAATATTGATAAGCACTCACCAAAGAAAAGACTGACTTTGAGCCTACAATGGCCCTCTTTCATTGACTGAGAGATCTTCTCTGGTGGCCTAGGTGGTTCTCAAGAAAATATGTTTGGGTCATGAAAATGGAGGAATGGTACTGGGAAGCTTGGGAGCGAGTGCATGTGAGTATCTTCTTATTCGATGTGATTACAAAATTGTCTTACATATGTTTGATGAGTTTATGAGAGAGTTCCAGAAATTTATCTTGGACACCCAGATGAGCTAATGGGAAACCAACTGTGGGTGGGAAATGTTGCTATCTTATGAGGTTGGGCAGAGTTCATTTCATGTTGGGAACTCTGGGCATCTCATGGATGAACAGAGTAGGAGGAAGAAAGTACTCGTCTGTTGTCCCCATAACATTCCCTCCTCTTTTTTTCTCCTCCCTACTCCTGGCTCCAGTATTTTCTCCTGGAGAACTGCTGGCTGTCTGCAGACTTGTCTCCTTGGGAAGCTACACAAGCCCTGTAGACAGACAGACAGACAGACACACACACACACACACACACACAGTTCTTAAGTAAGACATGATCGTTCTTTTCTTTAATAAAAAGAAGAAAGACTTCTCTGATAATAAAGGAAATTTTCTCTGGGTCACTGGAGGTCAAAACAGTGTGGACCGGCTGCCCTCTGCCACTCAAAGCAACAGGTTGGGTGAGGAAAACACTGGAACTGAATGTTATCTTTCCCTACTAGTGGCCCCAACTCTCATTCCAGCCCTCCCTCCACACCCCAGGATCCTCTGGGCATTGGGGGATCATGCGGAGGACTTCTGTTGAAAGGTACCGGTTAGCTTGCACACAGGAAAAGCTGGTCTCAGAGCTGTAAACTGCTCCATTCTCTGCTAAGCTCACACTTCCCTTCCTCTCCACTCTGTCCTCATGAGAGATGTCCCCTAATCTTGTAAAGAACCCCTACCTCATTCAAAGATGACATCCTTTCTGCTGAGATGTGCAATGGAGGGGACTTGGTTCCCCTAGTACCAAACCCTGGTAAGACCTTCAAGACTTTTTCAAGCCTTTCCACCGAGGTTCGTTGCCAACCTGTTATCCTGGGCCTTGTGGACTCCCATACCTCCTTTGGGCTGCCTCAACCCTCTCCTGGGTTCTTAGTTCCAGGAAATGTCCTAGCAAGGGCCACTGAGGTTGAGCCTTGATCTCTTTCTCTCTCTACCTCCCCCAACCCATGACCAGTGCCAGTTCTCTCTCTTTCCCAGGAGTCTCAAGGACCTGAACATGTGTTCATTGTTTTCCAGCAGACATTTCTGAGCTTCTAGGAGTAGTGATGGTAGGGTTAGAACCCAGGGCCCTGGTCCTTCCTCAAATGGATCTGGGCAGAGACCACTAGTGAAGCAGGTACTTGTGGTCATGACTCCCAGTCTATTTCCAGCTTGAAAAATGGATCCACAGCAGGGTGTGGTGGTGCATGCCTGTAATCCCAGCTACTCTTAGCTGAGGCAGGAGGACTGCAAGTTCAAGGTCAGCTTCATCAGCTTAGTGAAATCTTACCTCAAAAAAAAAAAAAAAAAAAAAAAAAAAAGGACTGGCCCCTACTCCTGGCTTCACTGCATGGGCCACAGCACTAATTGAGATCAAGGAATGATAACAATTAAGTGAGAATTTGCTAAATGTGTGGTTCCCAGAGTAAGACAAAGTATGCTAAATTAAATGTGGGATCGGGAACAATCTCTATCCACTATATATGGATGACTTTTCCACTTTGAAGAACTACTCTGATCATGTGATCATGTGGCATTTTCTCCCATCCCAGAAATGACTGGTATAGATGATGTTGAACTCTTGGTTGGTGCTGAGGATCAAACCGGGGATTCATGCATGCTAAGCACACACTATACCACTGAGATATGTCCCCAGCCCTTTGAACTCTGCTCCCTCTCTGTTCTCACCATACTTGATCATATTCTGAACTATCTCATTTTATCCTAAGATCTATCTCAGAAGGAAAATTTGCTAGAAAAGATGGAAAAATAAACATGATGGACTTTCAGATACATTTACATCCATTCTCACAATTCTGCAAGCTGAAAGGTGTTCTTTCTGAATCAACAGGTGACTGATTGAGGCTCGGCCTTCCATCCAAGGTCCTGAGCAGGTCAAACTCAATGCTGGGTTTGGTTGACTCCATCACAATATGTGTTACATGTCATCCCTCTGCCCTTTGTCTCCAGACTTAATGTATTTTGTTTCATGTGATTTTCACATCTCTCAGCTCCTACGTAAGCCCTTTGAGAGAAATGAGGCAAGGACTTTCATCATTTCCAAATGGAAACAGATTGAGAATGGCTGACTTGCCCAGTGACACAGCTGGCACCAGGGGCCACGGGTGCAAATGAGTGGACTTCTAACACAAGGGAGTGTGAGGTGGGGTGTCTCCACACCATATGGGAGGGTTTCCTCTGACATCCTCTCCATTCTGGGACTGGTCAAGCTAAAAATCATAGATAAAGCTGGGCCATGTCCTATTGGTGGGTGAGGACAGGTGGCACATGGCTACCTTGAGATAGAGCAAGTCCAAGGCTAAGCGCCCGCTTCCTTCCTTCTTGCCTTGAGTTTCTCAGTGTTAAACATTAATCATTAAAAGGAGAAACACCTGAATGCTGATATAATGATCCAAATAAGTGTTTTCCATCATGTCAAAGTTTACAAAGCTCCTGAGCTTTGTCCTTCAGCCTTGTTATTCTGGAAGGTGCTTGAACTTTCGAAATGTAAACACTGCCCGTCATTATTATCAGACTTCTGCATCTTGGCCTCCAGAGTGAGCAGTGGAAAGAAAAAGAAGAAATTCAACAAAAACAGGAATTTATCCCCTTCTCTTTCTTTTCAAAGGTGTGTGTTTTCTCGCTTCACATCCACCAGTAGGGCCATTAGTGAGTTGTGTTAATTCATATAATGGAATATTCATCAGTCATGAGGTGAAATAAACAAGATGCTTTGCTAAACTAGCGTGGTCCCACCTGCATTTTAAGAAAAGGACCGTGAATATCTGTCAGTGCGTCTGTGTACTCATCAATATCCCAAGAGGAACACACAAGATCCTGGTGGCATTAATTGTATCAAAAAAGGAAATGGGTAGTTAATGCATTTTTCATTGTGTACTTTTACATCTTTTGATTTTTGAAAGATGTGAACATGTACTCAGGAAGTTTTTTAAATTTTTAATGAACTTATTATTTTTAAAAATA